TTATTACTATTATGAATTAGATTCAAAAATATCAAGCTTACAATACAAAGTGATTATTTTCACAAGTACTCAAGGAAGATTTAAAAAGTATTGGTGGTACACAAATCTCTTAAGTTTGAAAGACAGTTTCATCTTGGAATCTTTTGTAAGATTGCCACACCTTCTTTCAAAATTTATTCTTACAATAAACCCAGTCTTTTTCAACAAGCACTGTAGCGGCCCAATGCGAAACTGATTCAATCATTAACAGAGACCATAAAAAATACAAAAACCTTCAGTAAGTGTGGGTGTGCTCTTATTTGTTCTAGTGGACAGTGTAAGATAAATGGCAACAATACTATTGCCATCAAAACAATTTTTACAAACGAGCTCTGTAACAGATTATAGTGTTTAAAATAACTTCCTTACTAGCTCAGTCATTTAAAAAGATTGCATACTTGTGATACTTTGTCAAAATCTGGTATCAACATAAACTGGTCCTTTGATATTGTGGAGCAATGTGGATGGCTCTGTCAGTTGAATTTAATTAAGCTGCTTTGGTTGGCTTTTTTCCTTTTACAACAGTTGGCTTATTCTTGATTGTACCTTTTCTCCGTTTGTTTGTCTGAAAAAAACTTAATTCTTAAAAGAAAAGAACAAAAGAACAAAAAAAAGGTGGAAACTAATATAAGAACAACTGTAACGCCTCTGATACAAAATTACTTCAAACACTAACAATAGCACTCACCTTCTTTGTAATAAATATCTTAGACCTTTTCACTTTACGTTCACTTAAAGGTATCCTTGGACGGTTAAATTCATCAGGCTTCTTGACTCTGGGAGAAATAGATAAAAATAATGAAATAAGAAACAGGTACAAAATGTTTTTTTTTGTTTGTTTTTCTCAAAAACTTTTTAAGGGAAGAATAAGAAGTGCATTTCACATTGTGCCTTACCTGTATATTCTCACAAGCCAATGTTCAGTAGTATAAGCTTCTTCCAGATATGTTAAGTCAAAGTTCTTGTTCCCAATTACAACATTTCTGGTGCGATCAAAACCAGGTGTAGATCTATAATCCATCTAAAGAAGTGGGAAGAAGAATGAATCAATAATACTTCTAATAAAGTTAATATTGTGCAGATAGGACCACAGCAGAAGAGGTTCAGAGGGGTAAATGCATGGGATTAGCATACTTACACGGAATTCTCCAAATCTATAATAACTCAACTTATACATAAGGCAGTTCAATAATGTTGGAGTTCCTTCAGAATCAACTCGAAATTCTCCTCTTTCGGTAAAATAATCACTTTCCTATTTAAAAGAAAAGAAAAAAAAATTGATTTAGTTTTGACATTTTTACAGTTTTAAGGGTGGTTTGAAAACAAGATAAATAAAACACATACCCTAATATCTTTGGGATGTTCTCCCTCAGCAATCCTCACCATCCACAAGAATTTGTTTATGTCATCACCAGAATACCCAATGACACCTCCAAAAATTACCAGTACATAATCAACATCTAAAGAAGTCATAATTTTGTAAGCCTCACTCTCATTAGATGACATAGCTTTTCCAACCTGCAATAAAACCTCATTAGAAAACTTTCGGTAATCAATTAAAAGACCTGAAAAAAGTAACAGAATTTACCAATGCAATGTGGCTGTTGTTCCAAGTGTTGTTATCAACTAAGGTAGTTCTGTTAGCCATTCCAGCAATTTGATAGCCATAATCCCACCAGCTCATCACTCGAGCATCACTGTGGGTATTTTGGGAGAGCCAATAATATGCTTCACGGAAGTCGTCTAAAATTTGACGAGATCTAGAAAAGATTACTTCGTGAGAGGAGGAATAATGCGAATGGAAAAGTACTGTTACTCGCAAATCTTAATACAGTATCTTACCCATCCTGCCCATAGGAAGCCAACACAATACTAGGACTGGAATATGCATTGCCGGTGACCCATGTGCAGTGCACTGCGAACATCATCAGCATCATAAGCATAGCCATCACAACAATACCACGAACATTACTACCTAAACCATCAGATTCTCTCATCTGTTCGTGGCGCATTCTTCTGAGTTTTCCAGCCTGTAAGAGACAAGTACAATTAAATTAAAATTTATTGCAAATAAAACACAAACTACCAGAGATAAAAAAAAAAGGACAAACCTTATCGTACAAATTACGGCTACTCTTTTCACTAGACCCATCATCTTCAGAATCAGAGTCCGGAGAAGATGGGTTTTCTTCCTCTTTGAGATATAAGCCCAAGAGATGTGAAAATGCTATTCCACTGAGTACACAGACTACAGGTGTAAGAGTCAACATTAATCGGACCATCACACCAGCAAAGTAAACAGCACTGACAGCATATAAAATAACTGAAAAATGAAATAAAGTACAAATTTAACATTGCTTGGAAAAAGATAAGGAGAAAGGCTACAAAAAGGACAAAATAACTTACTGAAAACCCTTTCATCATTAATGCTCTTAATGCAGTACCAAAGTCCAACTGGGAAAGTGGTAACTAGTATGTGCAAATCAAAGAAGAACGAAAACCATGTTGTTGGTTGATGTTCAGATACTGAGGCAATAATTGGAATGTGAATTTTAGCATAGCCAGTGTCCCACAGAGAATAAAATCGACCACTCCATGGAGCAATGATCCCAGCATAAGTCAAAAGAACCACAGTCAGGAAGACAAGACCTCCTGCTCCCACAACAGCCACCATGTAGAAATATCTCATCTCTGCTTTAGTTAAAATGGTTTGAACATATTTTAGAAATGATAGAGCCATCATCAATGCAAATACACCTGAAAGAAGAAAAAGCAGAAACAAAACAAAATTCAGTATTTCAAATGCTTAAAGATAGAAAAGAAAAGAAAAAAAGGAGTAATAATGATCAATTACCACTTGCAGCCATGTGCTCAGATGTACGAATCGGTTGGAAGCCGACAAAAGGAATTTGCATACTCATGATGAGCCCCATTATATAGAAAGTAGTATAACTGGTAAATAGACGAGATGAATACCGTCCCATCAACAAAAGAACAAAGACGTGCAATGGGATTAAATTTATGATAAAAACATAACCACCCCATGCAGACACCTGTAACAGACCAGTGGTTAACATTTTTAAATATAAAACTAGGTAATATACAACAACACCAAAAACTAATTAAAAAAGAGAGAGAGAGAGAACATACCATGTAGAAGTAAGAAAGAGCTGTGAGGCATGCCCAGAAGATAGATCCAGTCTTGACTGAACGAACCCATAGGAAATATGTTATTTGAAGAGCAAATATAGCAATGCCTTCATTGTCATAACTGCCAGCTACTGATCGACTAATGTAACCAGGAACTATGGCAATGAAACAAGCAGCAAAGAGACCAGCACCAGATGACCATATTTCTTTTGTAAGCAAGTATGTTGAAATTGCTGTCAGGCCACTGAAATAAAATGTGATAGAATTAATTTTTTTTATGAAATCCATCATTTATCACAAAAAGAATTGTAAGGAAATCTGGCTTACCTGAATACAGGTGCAAGGAAGACACAGATGTCTCTGATATTGACAGGAATATTAAGGCTGTGTAACACATAATGTATACTTCCAGATGTAATCATAAGCCCAGGATAAACCGTTCCGCCAACAATGCGTCCAAGTGGATACCAAGCACGCTCATCAAACCAGTTGAGGAAATTGTAGAAGCCATGTTGAACCATATACGCTGTGGAGCGATAGTTAAACCTGCAGAAAAAAAGATAACAAAAAATTAGGAACCAAAAACATTTCCAAAAGCCAACTCAAATAAGTTACAATTAAATGAAATAAGTCAACAAAAAAAGTTAAACTTTATGATTATGACCGAAAAATGTTAAGTGGAATCTTAATTGAGAGTGATAATATAAAATTTGCACTATAGCAGATGTTCGCAAAGCTTCTCCTAAACAAACATAACCTATGAAAGAGACATAAGGGTAAGAAGTCACGAACGATTCCAAGAAGAGATCAAGTACAGAAATAAAGTGATGCCGGGACAGTAAAAGCAATAATTAGTTTTCAATGAATAGAAGGATCATTGCATTTCTTCAATGTTTGACACGGCAGATCCGGCGTGTACATGAGCAGTACAAATCGATATTTCCAGTGTAGAACGCTATCATAAGGGATGAAACCCACGGGAATTTGAAGAATAGAGTGCAGAAAGGAGGTAGGAAGAGACGGGTTCCTTCAAAGTTGGTAGAAAGTACAATAAAATGCGTTTTTTCTTACCATGGGTCAAACTCGTGAATGATGCTCTCAAATCTTATAACTGCAAAGAGACGTGAGGCAAAGCCAGAAATCCATGCTAAAGCTAAGACTGTGAATGTAATTAGACTTTTCCATCCCGATGCATTAGAAAACAATCCATGCTTGTCAGGATTGTGAGATCTTTTAGGTCTCGGATCACCAAAACCACCCAGCCCCATGGTTGTCGTCTACACTACACTTCCATCAACAAATAACCGACACGTATAACAGGAAGGGCTGCCACTGCCAGCATGCCACTGCCAAATCAGCAAGATCAGCTGCTTGCTGGCTATCAATGGCGTATCTGTCAAATGTACAATTTATTATAATTATAATGATGGGAAATTCGCCGTTAGCTCAAAATTGTGGAACTGCTCATGATGTCTTTTACGTTTCTAAATTTTAATCGCCGGGATTCCGGTAAAAGTTGGTTGGAGGGGTTGGAGAGGGAGGGGAGAGTCACATCCGTCACATCGCGTTCGTTCGTAAGGGTTATTTACGAAACTTTAAATTATAGTTTCCGACGTGTATAGTTTTGTAAGGAATACCAAGTTTGCATTGTCATCATCTGCGGGTGGCAACAATCCTGTAAAAGGGAATAACCGAATAACATCCTTGTCCTAGCGATTTTCTGTCACTGTCAAGTCGGTCAGCTGTTTTGACAAGCTATCCAACGTAGAGAAAAAACTCAGTATTTAATACTGTCATTTGGGATTGAAACAGGCGTCGGTAAAGGAAAATGAATAATCTATATATAACATAACATGGCAATTAATCTATGGATGTGTACTTCTGAGATCTTAACGGACGCTTTGTGTGGACAGTTTTGAATCGTCAGGTTTCATTTACTCGGGCGTCTGCTTTCTGCTACGGTACGGTCAGTTGCGTGTCAAAACGCCACGTTGGAAGAGGTCTGTATACTTCAGTTATAGAGATTTATGCACAAAACTAACAAAATTAATGGTTGCATTTGAGTCGTAACATTGACTTAAAACTACAGTTGATCTCGTCTAGGTAAAAGCGGTTTAAATGGTCTCATAATTCCCGTCTTAAATAACAGTTACGTCTGCTGTGTTTGTGCCGCTTGTTTTGAAATTAGACAGTGCCTGATAACAACTCTAAATGCTAGCATATCAGTTTCAAACGATTTAGGCGTTCCAATCATTGCTGGACAGTTGAATTAATAGATTATGTGTCGATGCTCGCTCAAAGTTTGATCCATAGTTTATTTGCAGCGTGAATTTTTAAAACAAGTACGACTTCTAACCTAAAATATGTTGTTTTATTTTGTTATTATTTTCTGTTGACATAGGCCTTTTTACCTAATCCTCCATAATTTAATTGTATTTCACTTTTAATTAAATTTCGTGATATTAAAATAATCATTCATTTAATTTTTGCTGTGATTCAAAGTTCCAGTTTTTCTTAACTAGGTTTCATATAAAAGTTTCTTGATACAGTCATATTTTTTTATGCAATACTATCATTCTTAAAAATTTAAGTCGTACAACTGTGATTGTATATTTCAGATATTGACTGCATTTCAACATGAAGATTAAAGAGCTTGACAAAACTGTAAATGTGGCCTGGTCCCCAGCTGCTCAGCATCCCATTGTTTTAGCTGCTGGTACAGCAGCACAGCAGCTTGATGCATCTTTCAGTACCTCATCTACGTTGGAGCTTCATGCTCTTAACTTGGGTGAACCTGGACTAGAAATGCAACTCCTTGCCTCTGCACCAAGCGAGCAGCGGTTGGTAATTTGCAGTATTGTTGAATGATACCTTAGCAGTATACTTTTTCACTTAAACTTTTTGTTTTTCTTTACTTTAGGTTTCATAAAGTGGTATGGGGAAACAATGGCGCTATAGTGGGTGGTTGTGATGGGGGTCTGGTTCAAATCTATAACTCTCAGAAGTTATTGTCAGGAGAAAAAGCACCCTCAGCTAGACAAGATAAGCACTCTGGGCCTGTGCGGGCCTTAGATTTTAACCCATTTCAAGTAAGTTCTGTTACCTAAACTTGACCTTTTATAGTTATTATTTTAACAAAGATAATTTTAATGACATCTTACAAATTTTAGTCAAACTTGCTGGCTACTGGAGCATCAGAATCTGAAATATATATTTGGGACCTCAATAATATAAGTACTCCTATGACACCTGGTGCTAAAGCTCAACCATTGGAAGATGTTGCTTGGATATCATGGAACAGACAAGGTGAGAATATAGTGTGTACCAATTGAAAAATAGTACTTGTTAAAAGTTGCTAATATGTTTAATTTTTGTTTGTTTTTCAGTTCAACATATTTTGGCATCATCATTTGCCCAACGGTGTGTTGTGTGGGATCTTCGAAAGAATGAGCCTATTATCAAACTGAGTGACAGTCAATCACGGGTAATTCTTTGAAGGATTATTGCTGCTTTTTATACCAATAGCACTCAATGGCATACTTAAACCTTTTTTAAATTTTGTACCATTTAGACGCGTTGGAAGGTTGTATCATGGCATCCTGATGTTGCTACTCAACTCAGTTTGGCTTCAGAAGAAGATTCTGCACCGCTTATTCAATTGTGGGATTTACGTTTTGCTACAGCTCCCATTCGCACCCTTGAAAATCATCAGAGGTAAGTGTTGTTGTATCCTCTACAAATTTCAGCTTTTCAACAGTACATTTTTCTTTCTTAAATTATATGTAGGTAATTTATAAATTTCTTTATTACAGAGGTGTTCTTTCCATTGCCTGGTGTATGCAAGACCCTGATTTATTATTGAGCTGTGGAAAAGACAATCGCATCCTGTGCTGGAATCCCAACTCCAATGCACCGGTAAGAATTTTTTTTTCAAATCATGGTTTGAATTAAGTATCTATTAAGTTTTTGGAAAACTAATTCTATTTTATAGGGTGGTGAAGTTGTGTGTGAAGTTGCAACCACAACTCAATGGAACTTTGATGTGGCTTGGTGTCCAAGAAATCCTGCTTTAATATCTAGTTGCAGCTTTGATGGTCATGTCAGCATTTATTCACTTACTGGTGGTGCCCAGCCCCAGGTGCAGACAAGCAATAAGGTTCGGTAATCTTGAAAAATCTGAAATTATTTAAATATTTTATCACCTTTTATTTTTGATCTTAAAGTAATCCTCCTCCTCTTTTTTTCTTCTTTTTCTTTAAATAGATTGCAGATTCATTTCCAGGCATGGAAAGTTATGCACAGGCCACTCCTCCTCAACCAGCACCAGTTTCTGTAGATTTGAGGAAGCCGCCAAAGTGGTTGCGTCGGCCTTGTGGTGCATCATTCGGGGTAAGTGCACCCTCTACATACCCTCTCCATTTCTTTTAATTTTTTGCTGTAAAGATCTTGGTTCTCATTTATTTTTTCCCCCCCATAGTTTGGTGGCAAGTTAGTATCATTTGAGTTTGACAAGTCAGCCCCTGTGCAGCAGCCAGCTGCGCCACAACAACTAGGCTTTGTTGCCACACCAGCCGTGAAAAGAACTGTTTCCATCAGTCAAGTAGTGACGGAAGGCAGCCTCATGGCAAGAGCTCAGGCTTTAGATGTAGCCTTGCAGCAGGGCGATTATAGAGATTTCTGCAAAAGCCGTGCTGCTGAGAGTCACACATCTCATGATAGAATTTTGTGGGAATGCCTCAAAGCTCACTTTGAACCTAATTTGTCATCAGAAGTTTTGACCCTATTAGGTTTCAATCCTGAAGAAGTTAAGAACAAGGTGCAGTATACTCTCTGATTTATATTCATTTATTCAAAACCAAATTATTTCCTGTTCTTACCTATGTTATCTTACTTTCTAGCTTAACATCTCTATTGCACCGCCTGATGATTCACCTACTGAATTTAATGGGATTGACAATTTAACAACCCAAATGCATGATTTGTCTGCTGTAAGTTACAATTTAATTTACTCTTCAACGAAGTGCAATAAAATGCTGTGTTCTCTTAAACGGTTTTACATTTTTTTTGCAGGGATCTGCTGATGATGCCTTTAGTGCCATAGCTGCTTCAGCACAGTTAAAAAAGAAGTCAGAAATAACTGCTCCTTTTAGGATTGTTACTGGTGACGGTATGTTAGCCAATCATTTAGCTTTCACTGCACATACAATTCTCTTTGTTAACTATTTTCTTTCCTTTGCAGATGCAAATGGATTGATTTGCCAAGCTCTTTTACTTGGTCACACTGAAGCTGCTGTAGAATTGTGTCTTCAAGAAGGTCGCCATGCTGATGCTATTGTTTTAGCTATGACTGGTGGTCCAGATCTGCTTGCAAAGACACAATTTAGATATTTCCAGGTAAAGATTTTAATTTAATTGTCTACTTTTGGATTATTTTTGTGGTAAAACTTGGCAAGAAAGTCTTTAATATTTTTTCTTTACTTTCCAGAAAAGTAAAGGTTATCTTTCAACCCTTATGTCAGCTGTAGTTACTGAAGACTGGAGTCAAGTTGTTGCATCTTGTGATCTAGAGAGCTGGAAGGAAGCTTTGACTGCTATTCTTACACACACCAGAGGAGATGAATATTCGCGCTTGTGTGGTATGTAAAATGTTTGTCATATTATTCTACTTCAAGGTTGTTGTTTTTTTTCCTTTTTCTTTGCCACACATCAGATATGTTTTTAAAAAATAAAATGAATTATGACCTTTTCCTTTGTAGAACAATTGGGGCACCGTTTAGAAGTAGAATCGGGAGGTCTTCATAAACAGAAAGCACAACTTTGTTATGCTATTGCGGGCAACCTCCACAAGTTGGTTGACAACTGGATGTTAGACATTCGACCTACTACACCAGAACAGATGCAGGTAATGGGATTTCGTATATTTTCTATCTATTCTGAAGTATATGTAGATGACATTTGTTAAATTATTTTGTCTCTGGCTAGGATCTGGTGGAGATTGTTGCTGTTCTACGTACAGCAATGGAGCTTAGAGGCAATAATGTTGATATATCTGGCTCCCTTGCAAATACTCTATCACAGTATGCTGAGTTTTTGGCATCCCAAGGTAGCCTTGCCTCTGCTTTCACTTATTTAACCAACTCTCAAGATGTAAGTTAAAAGAAGATAATTGTCCTTAATTCATAATAATTGAAATATAAATTTATT